CCTCACCCTCAGATGTTCCTCACCCTGGGGACAGCCTTTGACCGGGTGTTCCTCACCCTGGGGACAGCCTTTGACCGGGTGTTCCTCACCCTGGGGACAGCCTTTGACCGGGTGTTCCTCACCCTGGGGACAGCCTTTGACCGGGTGTTCCTCACCCTGGGGACAGCCTTTGACCGGGTGTTCCTCACCCTGGGGACAGCCCTTCATGGGGTGTTCCTCACCCTCAGATGTTCCTCACCCTGGGGAGAGCCTTTGACCGGGTGTTCCTCACCCTCAGATGTTCCTCACCCTGGGGACAGCCTTTCATGGGGTGTTCCTCACCCTCAGATGTTCCTCACCCTGGGGACAGCCTTTCACCGGGTGTTCCTCACCCTGGGGACAGCCCTTCCTGGGGTGTTCCTCACCCTGAGGTGTTCCTCACCCTGGGGAGAGCCATTCATGGGGTGAACCTCACCCTCAGATGTTCCTCACCCTGGGGACAGCCTTTCATGGGGTGTTCCTCACCCTCAGATGTTCCTCACCCTGGGGACAGCCTTTCACGGGGTGTTCCTCACCCTGGGGTGTTCCTCACCCTGGGGAGAGCTTTTGACCGGGTGTTCCTCACCCTGGGGACAGCCTTTCACGGGGTGTTCCTCACCCTCGGGTGTTCCTCACCCTGGGGAACAGCCCATCCCAGAGATGTCCCTCACTTTGGGGACGTTCCTTATCTTGGGGACAGCCTTTCACGGGGTGTTCCTCACCCTCAGGTGTTCCTCACCCTGGGGACAGCCCTTCATGGGGTGTTCCTCACCCTGGGGTGTTCCTCACCCTCGGGGACAGCCCATCCCAGGGACATCCCTCCCTTTGGGGACGTTTCTCATCTTGGGGCCATCTTTTTCTTCGGGAAGTGCCCCCCATCTTGGGGACATCCCCCACCTTAAAGATGTCCCACCTCGGGGACACCTTTTCCTTGGGGACACCCCTCACCCTGGGGACACCCCTCACCCTGGGGACACCCCCAACCCTGGGGACACCCCTCCCGTGGTGGTGACACCCACCTCAGGGAACCCCAGCCAGATGTCTCCAGAAGTTCCCCCCCAACCCCAACCCCTCATCCTGGTGTCTCCGTGGGGGTGGGTGGGGGTGATGGTGGTGTCCCCCCACGTTGGGGGTGACCGTGGTGTCCCCATCTCTCTCCAGACCTTCCCGCCGGGGCCCTACGCCACCCCCCAAAGCTACGGGGGCACTTTTGGGGCCCCCCCGGCCGGAGCCCTCCCCCCTGGAGGGGCCAACTACAGCCAGATGCCACCGGGCTCCTTCATCACCGGTGAGTGGGGGGGTCCGGGGTTGGGGGTGAGGGGGGGGACACCCCAACT